GAAATCGTCAGCGTGCTAACCACCAGGCAACGTAGAAGTGACCAAAAAGCAATTGGAAAAGTTGTCAGCTGCATAGTTAGAGGAGAAGACCAGGAAAAAAAACAGTTGTTCCAGGTATTCCCAGTGCTTCCGCATCTCCAACAGAGTAAATATCGCGGAGGCGGAGGGGAGTTGAGTATTTTTTCCAGGGGTTTTTAATTTTTGGCTTTAACTGAGCCCAGAAAAAGCTACGGACCTTTTTTCCAGTTCATCCATCAAAGCATCCACCGCTTCCTTCATGCGTTTTTCTGGTGTTTCCATGGCACTTGCCATATCCATTTTGGATGCTACCCGTCTGAAAAATAGTCCCAAATAATGATGCAATGGCTCCTTACGCAATTTTTAACAAAAAACAAAAAAATCATTTAAATGACATCCTCACAAACAAAAGATGGGACTGTCCTCGGCCCAAAGAACAATAAAAAGCAATAAATCATTATGTGACAGTAAACGCGTCATTGAGCATTTACAGAGGCTCGAGAGAGGGGAGGGGAAGAGGCGCGTCTAAAAATTCTATCAGTTCACATCTCTACATTCATGCAACATCGCTTCTGAATAGCAAATTCAAGCACAATACATAAATGATCAAACCCGAGGATACATGCGTCCCGTGTTATGCACGAGTATTCAGGCACTGAACAAGGTGAACTTTCTGGCTACTTTGTGCGATCGATGAAGGCAAGGCAGGGGAAACCGGCATTTCGAGCTTCAGAAGCCATTTCTTGTCTATATCGAGGAAAACATCCATCCATCCTTACTGCACACCCGTCGCTCTTCTTCTGACAACTAGTTATCACTAACAGAGTCAAAAAATTCCCAGTTTGTGAGGTTCCTAATCGTAATCTGGAAAGCCAAAACTTCGAAATAAGGTGGCGATCTTAAAATTTAGAACAGAAAAACATCAAAAAAAAATCTAAAACCGAAAAAAATACTTATATCAGAAGAACCGCTGATAATCCCATTCTGAGACGAAACGAACGTCAAGACCGCCAGAAGACTGATCATCAGGGAAAGTAGCACTGGTCAAAGCAATTGGCAAAATCAGATTTTTAAAAATCAGAAACAATGAAATTACAGCTTTTCGAAAAGCGCAAAAAAACAATTAAAAAACAAAGTCCAAAATATCCTCAAGATTTTCCGTCCTCTTAGAGGCTACGTTTCTGTAAGGCCGAGTCGCCTATTACCGGCCTCCTGAAAATAGGAAAACGTCGGTCCGAACGCGGGGCACGTGTGGTCGGTTTTATCAACTTTCTGGGATTTAGGGTACAATTGGGGGGGGGAGGTCATTTCGATCGTGGTTTTTGACATTTTTTGATCCGAAGTAAATAGATTATGTGATATGCGTCCACTGTGTCACGTGATCCAGGAGGCTGCCATGAATTCACGTGACCCCCTCACATGGATCTTCTTGCGGCGCTGGTGGCCTTCCCTGTGTTAGAAAGGCGCTGGTAGCCTTGTTTTTTTTGTGTGTTTTTTGCATCTATGCAATGAATGTTGTGCTTTAGAAAGAAGAATATGGAAGAAGTGATACCGACAGCTGATGCGGAATTCAGAGCTCCACTGTTGAAGAATCTCGAGCCGGCCACTGTTAGTCGCATCGCATTAATAAGATCTTCATAATTGGGAGCTTGATTTGGGTTTTCAACGTCATACGCGGCAGGGGACATTCTCTTAAAATTTCAGCTTCCTAGCTTCTGTGCTTTCCGATTTGTCAATTTGTGTGCCGGAACTTTTACGTGATCGTACGCGAAATCTAGGCCGGGCTAAATCAGTACCCCCGGGATTCGTTTGTTGACATCCAAATGAGTCTTTGAAGTGCTCGGTCACCTTTTAGGTTACGAGAAGGGATTGCCTTTGGGATTGAGGCTGCTGCAGCCGCCGGCAGGCAACTTCCCCTAGAATATGTTCTTGGCTATTAACTTGATGGCTTCTTGTGTTGCTTGGGCCAGTGTTGCATAGCCAGCTGGCCACTGGCGCACATTTTTTCTTTTGAAGGTTTCGAATTATTATTATTATTATTATTATTGCCGTTATGTTTATTATCGCTATCACTGCCACCATTAATGTCGCTATCATTATTATTATATTCATTTTTATTACTGTTGTCATTATTGTTATTATTATTATCATTATTGTTGTTATTATTATTATTGTTGTTATTATTTCAATACATCTGACAAAGCTTTAGTTGTTTGGAAATGTCTTTAGACTGTACTGAGTATCAGCACTTCACTCCAAACGTTGTCACTTCTAAAATACATTGGATTACTTATTGACTAGGAGAAGCAAGAAGGGCATAAAAAAAAATCTGAAAAATCAATATTCCGTTTTTATTTTCCAGGATGAAGTGGAAAATGGTACCCAGGTAATGATGTCCATTGCGAAGCCTGAATTGGACTACACAGTACCGCCGTTTGCTTGTGCTCCATCTGCTGATGATCATTACGGAGTTGAAGTGATCAAAAACGGTGCCCTAATTGACAGGATTGATTTTGAGCGTCGAAAAGCAACAACTTTTTTGCTTATTGGTCGTTTACAGTCGTGTGACATACAACTGGAACATCCGTCCATCTCAAGGTACACCATATTTTTGACTTAATTTTAGCTCAGAGAGCAAAAACACACCTTCGCTTTTGATGATTTTGCCGCGCTTAGCTTGCTTATTTTTGAAAAAATTCATAGGATTTCTCATCTGAACACCGAAAAGCTGATTTAGGTGTAGACGTTGATGAAGAAACATTTATGAGGTATAAGGAAATCACCGCTTTTTGTTTTTGAATTACTTTTTTTGTTATTCCTGTTGTGTTTATTATCATGATAATCCGTTATGTTGTTGTAAATGTCGAAAATGTTATTCGAATCCAGTCTAATAGGAATCCTGCCCTAGGACACATGCCTGTGCATCCGTATTATACCTCCCAGATTTATATATCTTATGGGAAGAAGCAGTATGCTATGGTATAACTGGCCAGCAATAGGACCTTGATTGCTTATCGCGGATGCAGAGGGATCTCCGGTCTGTGACTGAAGGTGGCCTGTTGGGCCTTTCGGCGATCAGATGTCAGGAATGTAACAAGAAATTAAAAGCATTATGAGAAAAAAAAACGAGACTTACGGAAATATCGCCGGTATTACAGTCGGCGATTAAACAGATAGATTATATTTTACATGAAAACTAAGGTAAAGCATTTGTCGAGAAAAGACGTTATAATAAATTGAAAATTCCCGGAAAAATCAGGGCATACTGACACTTGGTGTGAGAAACCCGTGTTTTGTGAGATATTCGCATAGGTAAGGCGCAATTTTGCCTGGTTCTTTGTCCCTGAACTGCATGCTGTCAAATGGGGAATTATTTGCTTTTAATGGATTATTTCCTGAAGTTTTGGGACTGAAAAGCTCTTTTTAGCTGTGAATTATAAAAACAATAATAGTTTTGGTTGTTATTACCTTCTCCTTCCTCACTTCAGTGCTAGTGCCAGTGCGCTTCTTTTTTGTGGTTTATCAGCTACATCACAGAGAAATGGCTTGTATTTGACCGAGACTGTTATGCAACCCAACAAAATGTCAGTCTCTAATAACAGCAAAATGTAACTTTGTCAATCCTTAACGTGTTTTTATTTGCAGGCATCATTGTATCTTGCAGTACGGCGAAGAT